TTTTAATTCATGAAATATTAAGGCATATCAGAATTTCTTTTGTAATTCAGAAGGGTTTTGTTTGTTTCTGAACAAAAATAGTTTTTCTTTTCAAGATTTGAATCTCATTAAAATTTTTAAAATCAGTACTGCATATCTCTATAATTCCAGAAGAATGCAATATAAACTGAATATTGATGAATAGCTGGAAGTGGAATGTACTGCACAAATACAGGAATGTGTTTTAGGCCTCTTATTTTAATGTACAAAAACATTCAGTCATAACTTCTTTTATTTCAAACAAGGAGTAGTCCAGGGTTTTTCAGGTTTTTTTTTTTCCCCTTTGGTATTTAGTCCAGCTATACCATTAATTTCTTGACCTTCCTGTTCAGTAGGTCTTTTATCATATGAAATGTGTTGTCTGAGTTGCTAAAGAATGAATTTGAAATACTGATGAGAGTTAAGGGGTCCACCACATTTGAAACATATACAAATCCTGCTAAATAAACTGAGTTGCCCTTCAATACAGATTTTTTTTGTACACTCTCCTCATTATCTTGCCTTGGTTCTGCATGAACTCACGATTATATATGCAAAGTGCATTACAAGAGTCAGTGGGATTACTTTTGTGAAGTTCAGCATATCAGGAATGTTTTGTAATGTAAAATACTTCACTTTTGTAAACATCGTTATGCTAGCTGTACCTCATCAAAGAAAAAAACATAAAGCAAAATTCTTTCATTGATCCTTGTCAGTACTGTAGACTCTATTTCTTTTTTATGGTGATATTAAACCTTCAGAAACAGCATGTATTTTTCTGTCACAATATGTATTGTGTGTTTCTTGAAGATTAGTGTGTTTCTGGTAATACTTTCAGCAAATCAAACTGGTTCTTTTTGCAACAAATGTTTTATGTACAGCTTCGTTATCCCTTTCTTAAAAAGGAAACAAAATCTCTAGTTTTATAGAGATTCAACCTCCCTTATTACAAGGACAGTCATTATTGCAAAGTTTGTCAAGAGTGATCCAAATACTAAAATGATAATATAACAAAGTTCGTACTGTGGAACATTGTGTGCATACTGTCAGAAATACATTCGTTTCAAATTGTACCTTATCTGTGCCACAACTGGTGTACATGGTAAGCCAATGTTACCCCACCTGTGATGTTAGAAATGAAGCCCAGTCATTAAGGCCGATATGAATGTCAGCATAAGCAGTGGTGGCACTTTTCTGATCTAGCACAGTCAGCAGGCCTAGAACTCATACCTCTTGGTTTTCATGAAGCAGAAGATAAAATTCAGTTGCAGTTTCTGAAATAGAGCATGTCTGATGCGACTTTTGTAGAGTGTTTATTATGCTATTAAATTTACCAGATGCTTTAGGAATTAAGCTTAAAATTACTTTATCAAGCTTTCTCTCTGCTCCACTTTTTATTTAGGGATTGATCCAAAACTATCCAGATTGCCATTCAGTTCAGTTCAATATCCTTGGATCAAGTTCTTATGTCTTTGTTATACTACTTCACTTTTGTAGTGAAAAACTGACATCATTTGAACTGTTCCTAATTTAAGTGTGAGCAAAATAAACCCTTCTGTATTTTTTTTAAATCAATCTCTTCCTTTCTGGTTTAAAGACTTCTGAATCTCCTTCTTAGTTTCAGGCTATCATTGGAAACCATGTCCAAAAACCAAAGTTTTAGGTTAGATTACACCGTCAGGTTGGCATCTGTTACTCCTTAAAGGAACATTTCAGGATAGAAGAATCTATCTAAAAGAAAATAAATTGCTAAAATGCTAAAGTTTTTGTCACAGTAAGATGAAGGTTCTCTTGGCAGGAACTCAAACTAGCAGAAGTAAGTAGCAATGTACTTAGAAATTCTGTTAAAAGCACACTAAAGTGTATTTTCAATAAGGAAGGTTGTCTTTTTCTTTTTTCTTTTTTTTTCCTTCACCTTCCTTACTATCAGAATGTACACAGCAGCTTGTTCAAACTAAGGCAAAAATCTTTCTTTGCCTGATGCTATTTACACTTTGTGATGAGAAGCCTTTAGGGCACAAGTGTGCAAAATCCCTGTAACTTAAACTACCATCTTCTGCATCCAGTGATACTTACATAAGGCATTACTTGTTATTTCACTGCTGTGCATCCGTATCACATTTCATTCATTTTTGTCTGAATAAATCCTCTTAGATTAAGGAGTTTGTAGCTTAAGTATTTTAATACAAATATGATGATCCTTATACTTCTGCTGGATCAGCAAGGTGGACCTAAGTTTGTCAAGCTTGTTGTGAAGGTCAAGTCTATCATACAGTGCTGTGGTTCTTCTTTTTTCCAGCTCTAATGTAAAAGATTTGGAGGGGCTCTGGGATGCTGACTGGGAGAAACGAAGTAGTAGCCAGCAACCTATTTTTACATTTTAAAAGGGTTTTATATTTTAAAAGGATTCTTCCCACCAACAAATCTCTCTTCCGGATGTTTTCTTTTGCTTGCTAATTACCTGAGTTTATTCATGCAGACACAAATAATTTTATCAAAGAATTTCTACTTATCAAAACTGAATATTTTATTTATATTACAAAATAGACATAGTTTCTGGTTTTGAAATGATTGTTTGGAGTTTTCAGAAGTTTTAAAATGTGTTAGAAACCCATTGACTTAGGTGGACTGAAATCCTTCCTGTTGCATTACTTGCTTTTACTGTGGAGTAATAGGTTGTAAGATCTCATGGAGAAATACAAGCATGTCTTTAACTCATTTTAATGGAAGGTGGAGAAATATGATGCATACAAGTGCATAACTGTTTTGGTTGACTCACTCTGAAGTTAGTTTAGGTGGATCTGATTATCTTTTGTCTGACTTATGAAAAGGCTTTCCTAGGAAGCAGAGAGAATGAAGTTGAGGAGTAGAAAAACTCTGACAGACAAAGACCCAAGAAAAGAATAATCTCAAGAGAAGGCTTAAACTGAAATTTAAATTATGTTAACAGTAAGTGACAACCATATAAGTGTGATAAAACACACAACTGCAGGGAAATTTAACCTATTTGTATGAGAATTATATTTGAGCTGCACTGGATTAAACTAAAATCTTAGTCAAAAGACAGGTATGACTAAGGATCACATCTTCTTTAAATTCAGCATATATATATATCAAGGTTTGGATCACAGGTTTAAATGTTAATGGCCAGCTTCACACTAGCATTTTCATAAGTTTTCAAGAACACTCTTCTCAGTTATTTTGCTTGTCATAGATGGGCAATTATACTTATCATTGGGTAAAGCACCCCTTTAGGTAAATGTCAACTGAAAGGTTGTTTTCTATAAGAAAGCAGGTGTTTTTGTAGTTCAAGTTATTTATCTAGAGGCTATATGTTAGTAAAATAAGGCAGTATGTTGTTTCCACACAGTCAACAAGTTTGATTGGATACATGCATTTATGCAAAAACTAGTGTTTTGTCTTCACAAGGGGTTGGTCTTGAATTAAGAATGTCGTTTTTTATTAGTAGAAGAAACTGAGGTGATAGGGGGAAAGATGGAGCTGAGACATTAGGATTTGTAGTTTTATACTGTACTTTGTTATTCTTTTCAGTTCAGCTGAAATTATGCTGCATGGAATTTTATGGCAGATTTGATTTCATTCATTCAGCTGTTTAATCATCCCTAAATGTCTGTCTTTATGCATTTATCTTTTTTGCTCATTCTAGAAGATGGCTTTTTTCTTTCTTTGTCTTGCTGGTACCTGTAGTCCTCTCTTCTTCATTATATCCAGCATGTGAACTGGAAAACAGGAAAAAAACATCGCTGAATGATACTATGTATGTTTGATTGTTTTTCCTTATATTCTTTAAATACATACATGCAACATATAAATGAGGATAAAAAGGTAATAAGAGATTTTATTTGTAGAAATATATAAGCGAATAATTCATATGCAGGTATACCATTACAAATTTATTTCTTCTTATTATGAAATGCTATGTTTATAAACTTTATAGAAAACTTCAGGTGAGAGAGAAATTTAGTTTGGAATCATCAATTTTTTCTGTATAGCTGTCAACAGTCATCTAAAAAAAAACCTGATACGAGGTTTGATTTAGATTTACAGTTGATCAGGCTGTATATCCTGAAATTTTTTGAAACAATTTCCTCCGTAATTTTTTTCTGTTCATGGTTTGCAATGGACATCTAGAGGTTTTATTCTTATGTTCCGTATCAGGAATAACAATTCTGTAAATTTGTCTAAATAAATTTCAAGTATACTAAATGAATATGTGAAATGTCTTAATGCTATTCAAGAGGAAGAAAATGTGAAAGGATGGTGTTGATGAATTTTCAAATTGAGATTTTGTCCTGATAAATTATTAATTTGCCATGTCCCTGGATATTCTGCAGAGAAGAAACTGTTGAAAAAAGACAAAGGAGAGTAGCTGTTGACTAGTCCAGATACTACTTTGTTAGTACAGAGGTTTCTTCCTGATTGACAAGATGGACTCTATTTAAAATTAAAACATTGTGGGTTTTTCCCTGTTGCAAGATCAAGGATTTCATTTGTGGCTACTTCAGCTTACAAAACAGGAAAACTGCGAAATTGTCTATAGGCAATATTTGTCTATATTTGTCTACTCTAACAAATAGTCACAGGATATTAATACACATAACATTTCAGCAGCTCCAAGAAAGATCTTCTGAAATGAAGGTAAGCTTGTAAAAGAAATTTCAACAGTTTTCATTTCTCACCTTAACATCAGAGTTTTTATTTCTGTTACCCTGCTTTCCCTGGCTCCATAGTAAAATAAAATTGAAGCAAAAATTTTTGGACTCGTGGTCTGCCCAGTACAGTGTTGTGTTTTTCATTTCAGCAAGTAGCAAATCATTCTACTTGCTGAGAAAGCAGTAAAACTGAAACAATTTATGGAAGTCTTTCGCTTGATGTTCCAGAAGTCACAAACGATCTCCAAAATGATACTAAATCATAAAACCAAATTTAATTTGTTTAACCAAATATGTTTCCTTATTCAGAAGAGGAATCTGCTCCAAACAGTGTTGTTGAAGAATACCTTCAAGAGAAGAGAAAATATGAAGACAAACGGAAGCAGCAGCCAAAGAAAGGAGCTTCTCGTGAAGATCAGGTAATAGTTAGACAACCTGGGGAAAAAAAAATCCAGAAAAAGTTCTGGAAATGTTTCTCTCTTCATTTGTGTAAGAATAAAGTTTAAAATCTGTTGTTTCATTTTTCATTAAAGAATCTTTTTATTTATACAAATATATGTATTCTTCAATCCCCTATTTGATTACCCAGGTAGACAGGTAAGTGAGTGTGTTTGAAAGTGATATCAGTTTAGTCACTAAAATCTTCCAACAGGAAATGCTGCCCACGCAAAGGTATCCTTGACTGCATTTACAAGAGTTTTGCATTTCTATACAGTGCTTTTCTTGGCTCTCCAGCTTGCCATAAGATAAAACTAGGACAGAAGTTTGCATACTTGGCATCTGTCCAAGCTGGGTTTTTTTAACATTTTAAATTGTTTTAAAGAGATTAAATTTATCCACATCATGAACAGAAGTAGTTTTTAACTGCACTGTAAAAAGAAAACCCTTTATAAATATAATGAAAAATATTTTTCAAAAGGAGTTAGGATGTATATAGAATTTAGTATGCAAATATAAGCAAAGTAATTTTTGATCTAAATACTTTTTTTTTTCTAAAATAGGAAACTTTGAAACTGTTGAGTATATGAAATTGCATGTGAAGTGGAAAATACCATTAACTTAAAATCTGTGCAGTACATCAAAAGCATTGGTTTATAAATGCATGTCAATTTAGCTACGAAGATGTTCATAATCAACTGTTGAAGCTAGAACAGATTGGAAAGTTGAGGCTTAGTAACTTCAAAGCAGCGGTTGGCAAACCTTTATACATGCGGCAAGCTGATTTAGCTCTACACTAAGAAGTTTATGGAAACTTTGTACATTGAAAAGCCCATTAACTTTGAATCAAAGAGTACAAAAGCTCCGTTGGCAGTGTGGATCAAGGGACTTAAAACCACTTCTAATTAATTTATATTAGCCCTGTCCTGGACATCGTAGGAAAACAAGATGAGATGACAGGGATGTATATTTTAGTAGATCTTAATTTTTATTTATGTAACCCTGCTAGGAACTATTCAACAATAATTAATCAAGTTCTTTGTAATGCATTTAACTTGTGGAGAGATTCCTCTAACCTTGCATCCCTCCTACCTGCTCCTACAGCACAATACCATTTTCCATCCTCTGTACAAGAGTTAAAGAAGAGGGGGAAAGGTATGTGTCTCCTTACAATACTAGATATTGGAAGTCCTAACCTCATAATTCCACAAGGGTCAGTCGATAAAGTTATTTGATCCACAGTATGGCATCTAATCACTTGCTGCAGAAATGCCTACTAAGATATTTTAAAGTTATTTCTATCAGCAGGTTTATTCACACGAATGCTGGCACCACAGAAAACTAGACAAGACACAAGGAATGTGGCTTTGGTTGGTCAGAATTTCACATAAAAAGGGCTAGTTTGTTTTCTTCTGATGGCCTAGGCAGAGGTGTGCTGTCTCAGATGTTGCAAGTACAGGGTTTGTTTGCAATAGTATGGAAAGCTATAGAACTCGAATGATTTGCAGGCCCAAATGTCTTTGAAATTTTCCTCTCTCCCATCTTAAACAGAAGATTAAACAGAAAATAAAGAAAATAAATGCAAAACCCCCTCCAAAACCTGCCTTTGGCAGTGCTAAAATATGTTTTTGAAAGAATTCAAAAGCCAGGAAACTCCTAAAGTTAAGATTGCTCCCAGAAGGAAATTTGATTCCAGTGAACACTTCTGGTATTTCCTATTTCTGTTTTCTATTCTTGTTTAGTTTTTATTCTTTTAAATTTGAAAAACTTGACCAAACAAAACTAAACAGCCATACAGAGGTGTTTTACAACATAGGTGGCCAACCTATCACCTAAAGATCAAGTGTAGCCTGCCACATAAATTCAGTCAAGCGCTTATTCCCTGATGCTTTCCTTTCCAGGAATGTCTCAAATAGCAGCAAGAAATAAGCAGTGGGCTGTGCAAATTATTCTTATGGTGTGCCCTTTTTTTGAAAGGACCCCTCTCCCATCACAAGGCTCAGGCATACAATTCTTGTATAATCAAAATCTTATTCCAGGTGATCAGAAACAAGACCTGTGGTTTTATTTTCAGGTGTCACCTGAGATTTGGTCACTTCATTGTAGCTGAAAGACTGGGCAATGTTAGCTGGAGAATAAAATACCAAATATAAATAAGTGTGAGCTTAATGTATGCAGCCTAAGAACTTGTATCTGTAGAATTAATTAAGGTGGTTCATTGCATTTGAGTCAAAAGCTTTGAATTTTTTTAAATGTTGGTACATAATTTAAAAGATCAGCAATTTAAAGTAAGTAGATATCAATCAAACCGGGTCTTCAAAACTTGAATAATTTTTAATTTATACAATGGATTGCTTTATGACAACAAAATAGCAGGTTCATACAGTACAATTTGTTGTCAGCAGTCAGTGTCATTTAATCAGCTGTTTTATTCTGTAAGTAGCCACAAGTTTTTGTTCCTTAAATATGCATTTTGATTTCACCAGATGTCCAGTCAAGTGTTCTTGCACACCTGCGGGGTGCCCTCCCTGCTTGCTTTTGCTGCCTCAGCATTGCTTACTCATTCTTGCTTGTTCTCTCGATGGGCACTCTCAATGCATTCTTGCTCTCTCGCTCCCCAGCCCCACTCTCCCTGCCCCTGATTCTCTCCTTTGCCTCTCTACAGTGTTTCTTTCAAATTCATAGGAAAGATCTCTCTTCCATCTCATTGCACGATTTCTCAAAAGAAGAATAATAATAATAGTTTAAAGATGCTGTATATGCCTGTTGTTGTGTGTAAGTATATATAACTTCTCTACAACCATGTATTTAATTTCAGACACTGGCACTGTTGGACCGATTTAAATCAAAGTTAACCCAGGCAATTGAAGAAACTCCTGAAAACGAGGTTTCTGAACCTGAAGTAGATAATGACGAAGGATGGTAAGTTTTTTTGGATTTGGATTTCTGTGTTTACTGCTGGAAATCCTACTGCACTAACATAGTCTCCCTGTTAAGCATAAATTTAAGGAGTAGCAGAAACACCAAATGTGAAGACAGCTGCTGCAGCAGGAGTCAGCTAAAATTTACTGATTTAGCACTGTTGAAAATAAGGTGAGAGAGTAGAAGACATTTTGCTTTGTGTAGTTTTAAGTCCTACTAAAACTCTGTGTTGGGGGTGGTAAGTATTGTAAAGACTGATGGGTGAGATGAAGATAGACTGATAGACTCATCTGAAGTGTGTGGTGACCCCAAGGGAGCAGGATAGCACTGGAATTGGTAAAGCACTGCAGAAGTTATTACATCAACGCCTCCCGGTCAAGGAAGCAACTTGTACCATGTTGTCTCATGTTCATCTTCCATCCCAAGAACCCACCTTAGGTAGGGATGGGGATAAAAATCGATATGATTTGAAGTGGGATCTTGAAGTCCTAGATTACAATCTGTTGGATATTAATAAAAATAGCTGCAGAAAATGTAGGAAAAAGGCAAAAAAAGGTAGCAAAAATATCTTGTAGGGACAGGTCATTTTTTTTAATAAGGCAAACAATATAGCTGGTCTAATAAAATAGACTGTCTCTGCCTACAACTTTTTCCTGAGTTGTAGGTGTAAGCCATCACAGCTACAGCAAAACTACCACTAAAATAGAAACTTTAACAAAGTTCTTGGTGAGTGTTTTAAGACAACCGATATTTCTGTATCTCAGATAATTTTGAGTTTCCAAGTGAAAATATGTCAGGTGTACCCTTATGATCTTCCTGAAGGCTCCCTTCCTGTGAGAGAGAAACCAATAAGATACCTACCTGCCCCAAAATCTCCAAACTACCACCAGTAACTAGACCTGAAAAAAACTGAATTACATTAAGGAAAAACACTAAAATATCCGAATGTACATTAGACACCCTTTTTAAATCAAAAATAAATGGTGTAACTAAATGTGATTTAAGCATCCTGCGTCTGTTTTGAGAGGACTTATACAAAACTGTAAGATAACCATGTTAATGAAGTTTTTCTCAGATGAGAAGACAGTTAGCATTGGTAGGAAGTGCAGACTGTCTAAATAACTTAGTGATTTTTACTGTTGTTCTACAAATGAAAAAGATGTGCATACTGAAGTGAGAAAAGACACCATAAAAAAGACTGTCAGGGAAGATAATATATGGAAGGAAAAATTATTTTTACATCTTAATTCACATTTTTTTTCCACACGTTGATTAATAAAATTCTTCAACTATCCGTAAGTTAGACATCAAGTTACAGTAAGCTATATTATAAAAATATTTGGGTTTTTATATAATGAATCATAATATAGTAAGACTATTTGAAGATGCATTCCATAAAAATAAAAAAAAAATAAATTGCAGTTCATGAAAGGTAAGCTGAATTGCAAATTCTGAGACCAGTTGTGCTGATGAGACTGAAATTTTAGATCACTTTTCAATAATTTTCCTTCGTTGTTTGTATCATATACATGATGAATCATTGCATATATTTTAACTTAGTAAGATAAAGCTACACAGATTCTGCAGCTTTACCTTCACACCTTCTTGCTTTTCACTGAATCAAGCTGAGACCTCACAAGGGATATTCTAGGATTTGCAGAAAACTTCAGACACATGCACTGGTAGAAAGACTAACACCAGTAGTATAGCACTTAGTGTAGAATTTTTGCAGTTTGTAAAACAACATGTTTACATAAGCAGTGTGTAATGAGTGCATTTATTTTTTTAGTGTTTCTTTGTAGGCATTAGTGTAGTCTGCTTTCATCTTAACACATACCTTGGCATTCTCATCACTGAAAATGCGCTTAAGTATTACTAAGTAGGCTATTAAAAATCCTGTGATTCTTTCAAATAATAGCAATTCAAACATTTTGCGTATTACGTTGTTGATTATATTCTTTTTTCCTTCTATTTTTTTTTCCAAGGAAGAACTGAGCATTCCTCATAGCTTCAGAATCTAACCAAACCCTCTCTGTCTCTCTTGCTCTCTCGTTATTTATTTATTTTTGTACCTAAGAAGAACGGAACATGGTATTTTAAAATGCAGGTTAGGCTTCTGAAGTGTATGTTTTCTTCCTACTTTTAATGTTAATTCCATTATCTGGAAATACAGCTTTGCTTTCGTTGCGTATATTCTTTGGGTATTTTAACAGATAGATCAAAACACAAGCATCTTGGCTTTGGATTATTGTTTTTGAAACAATAGAGAAAATAATTTCCCAAATCTTGCCCATTTCAGGATAGCTCTTATTACTAACTTGCTATTATTGTGAGTTTTTCCTTGTCACTATCTGTTTAGTTGCTTCTTCAAACCACATAGTCTTCCTTTATTATGTCTTTTCTTAGCTCACGCTCTTTGAGGATGAGGGATAACATACACCATAAATTTTGAGGTCCTAGAATTTCACTGATATTTTGAGATCCTTCTGAGCTACCAATATACTTCTACGTTCTCCCAGAATTATAGAATAGACTATTTCAGTTGGAAGGGACCTACGGTGATCAACCTGAACAATTCAGGGCTGACTAAGTTAAAGCATGTTATTCAGAGTGTGCAAGGCCAGGTTGGACGGGGCTTCGAGCAACCTGGTCTAGTGGAAGGTGTCCCTGCCCATGGCAGGGCAGGTGGAACTAGATGATCTTTACAGTCCCTTCCAACTCTAACCTTTCTATGATTCTACGGTATTATGATTAAGGGCATTGTCCAGCCACCTCTTAAACACTGACAGTCTTAGGGCATCAACAACTTACTTATCTAAGAAGGTTGTTCCAGTGCTTGACCACGCTTTTGGTAAAGAAATGTTTCCTAATGTCCAGTCTAAACCTCCCTAATTCAGCCTTTCCATGAGCCTGAAGGACTGGTCTTGATGTCTGATGTTTTCTTGTCCCTGTAATATAACTGGTCTTTTAAAGACTTTTATTGAGTCCAATCACTATCTTTCCTGTTCCTTTCTGAGTATCTACTGGCATCTAATTGGTGATAATTCTTTTCTGTGTAAGTAATTCATACTGAATGAAGAAGAGTGTTGCAATTTCAGATTAGGAAGTTGTATTTTTGTTCAGAAAATAATGTTGTATTCAGAATTGCACTACAATGAAGTCTTAGAATAATATGCAACTACGTATTAAACTAATAATTAACATCATATTATTAATTTTGCAGCACAGTAAATGTGCATGTTAATTTTACAGACAGATGAGACTATTTTCAAAAAATATACTTTCAAGCTAAATAAATGGTAAAATGTGCACGTTACACAAATTGGCTATAAATATATACAACATTAATCAAGCAATGAAGCCTTCTAAAAGCTGTTAATAATTATTAGAATTGCTTGGAAAGTTAATTTTTTTTGAATAAGAATTTACATTTTCAGTGTCTTTTTTGTATTGGAATATTTGAGAAAACTATCGTGACTTTACATTTTAAGATTCTGTCTTAATTGCAGTCTACTCAAAAGACAATAATTCTTTATTTTATTTTTATTAAATATCTAATTAGTTTATGGCATATGCATATATGATATGCACAAATTATGAGATTCCTCCAGGCCATTTTGTAGGCCATGGTTACTGTTTTTATGGGAAGTGAAAGCCTGCCAGTATGCTTTGCTGTACTGTCAGGGTGTGTTATCGGAGGTAAAATGATTGCCTCGAAGACATTTTTATGTGTCCACATGAGTGGCCACACATTGAGGTATAATTTTCATTTTCTGTCAAGATAGAAACCATTACCAATTTGTTATGTTTTCTTTTATTTGGCAAACTTCTCTCTGCATATTTGGCTGAGCTGCTGTATTGGCATGGAGCATAGCAGACGTTTGGGCACTTTTCAGCAGCATTCTACTTTTTATGCAAGAAAAAAAGAAGAAATATGACTCTATTGTAAACAATGTGTATGGTGTTTGATAATTATTACCAGATTTTACTGTCTAAGAAGGCATCTGAGGAAGTGTTGTGAAAAGAGCTGAAAAGAAATGCATAATACTAAGTTTTAACATGAAATACCTGAATCTTTGCTGAGACATTCTATTTCAAACTCTACCGCTATGTGAGAATGATTATGTATGTATCTGTCTGCAGCAATCAATTTCCCCTACAGAATTCAAAAGTATCAAAATAAACATGGTACGTACTGCCAGAAAGGGTACTCATAACAATAAAAACGTCTGCAGACAAGTAGACAGACATGTTTTTACAGCATCTGGGTACCTTAGAAAGACGTGTTTGGTCCTAGTTCTTCCATTTGCGAGCTTTATTGTCCCTATGGTTCCATATGGAGAACCATTGCTTATGTTTTTCTTTTAATGATTTGTCAGATGTCTTTAGTACTATTTGATCATTAGTTGTTCTTTATTTGCTTACAGTCCAAATAAGAAAGAGTCAGATGCATGACTTCATTCTTCTCTTGCACAAAGGTTGTACAGAGTGCAGCAGAAGTAGGTAGAGATGACCTGGCAGAACTCAGTTGCTGGTTCTGGGCTTAAAGTCTTACCCAAGAAGACTTTTCTCCAAAATGTAGATGAGATCCATCACAGTGTCAGTGAGGTGTCATCTGCTTAGAGACTAATAGAATGAAAACCAAATATGTCACAGTGGAAGACCCAGCTGGAACAATTCATCTACTTCCCATCTGAATTACTGGATAGGCCTGAATTTGAAAGGGAAAACACTGCACAGGCTACACTTCATACAGAGCACTGCTGCTCCTCATTTTCGTTAGTCCAAGTGGACGGCTATATACGTATAGTTGCACATATGTGACACCCAGTCAGGTTGTAGTGCCACTTCAGGGCTCTGATTAAAATATCCAACATTTACAGCAATAGTAAAGCCCCAATTTCAGTCCAGAAAGTGTTATGGCATCTGCAGATAGTGAAACTGATGATACAGATCCTGTGAACATGACATAAAATATTTTCCATAGAGAGAATCCAGCT